CAAAATTTGTTTTTCCATTTCTAAGAACCGATAGAACAGAGGTAGCTGAGTGCTTTTTGGAGGGCATGAAAGATGAAACCCGGTACACAAGGGGTCTTTGATTAAGAGTACTTCAATACAAGGAACAGGCCCGCATGCACATACTGTGTTCCAGTTATGGTGTAAAGTTGATGTGCACTGAACTGACATGAAAGCCACATCTCGCAGCTCCCTGGTGACCTCACCACGGACTCTACTTTTAACAATTTTTTTAAATGCCATCTGGCAGACACAAGTCGACTCTTCCAACCCCACTAGAAGCTCTTCAAACGCACGCGCCATTAAACTTTTTCATCAGACGCCATTAGATGACTTTCATTTCCATTATCTCGTCTTTTTCTTTCCTAACTGTGTGAAAACTAAAATGAGGTCAACTAGGATAAGATTCTAATCCGAGTCGATTTTGTTCGAGACCTCTCTTCTTTCCCACTCTTCATCCTCCATATGCTGCTGCTAGCTAAACTGCCAACCACTGACTCAGGGAAGACAGTAATGAGTTCCTAGAAATCACCACGGGCAGAGATGCAACATTGCTACTTGTAAATGGTAAGCGTATTGATCACACGTGTAACACATACAACATGCGGTATGTAACACAGTGGCTGAAGAAGCAGTTAAACTCCTCTGATGAGACTGTTGCCGTTTCAGTCAGCCTCATCTTTGCCGCGTCAAGCTCCAGCACATTGCATAACAGAACACAGACACAAACACACAACCTCAGGCCTAGTCTGCACTATGGAGAGCCATCTAGAAGGGTTAGCTCGAAACTGTCAACCCCAATGAGGACAGAGCAAAAATGAGAAGGAAAATAAAGATGCAACAAAACAGATAGAAGAATAAATGAATACACAAATGATCTGTGACCTGAAAAGAAGCTCCCACACACTTTAAGCAATAATCTGGAAAGAGAACAAACGCTTTTTTACCATTTGCTATCCATCTGTCTCTGTAGATGCAGAATACATGCAGATAAAAAGCCTCTTTGTAATCGCTGATTACAATCGAAAACCATTACCATAATCACACAGATATACATGAAATGCAGTCAGTGTTCTGTAAGAGGCATATGTGAACTATCGTGTGAAACAAGAGCTTATATCACATTGTAATCCTTAAGGGATTTCTAACATACATTGAAATTCCCATCAAAGTTTGTTAACAAAGGGAAATATGCATGCACACACACACTGTGAAGCTCTGTGCAGAGATTGTAAGATACAATCTTGCACTTTCATTTGTACATACTGTACCGATGAATTTCTAACATCTAGTGCTGAGTTACAATTTCTATTTCAACACTTTAAAATGATTCCCATTCAGAAGACCAGTCAGAGAACTGATTCTCAGTGAGCTTCTCCTCTGACTAGAGACAAAGCTGGGAGGGCAGCAGACTTTCTGAGTGAATCAGAAGGAAGATTAATGATGGAGATATGTCATAGTGTGTGTGTGTGTGTGTGTGTGTGTGTGTGTGTGTGTGTGTGTGTGTGTGTGTGTGTGTGTGTGTGTGTGTGTGTTTTTGAATGCGTAGGAACAACGTTTTCTCTGCAAACATATGTGAACCACTGTCCGCCTGCATGTGCAAACGTTTGCCCCCTGTGTACGTCAGTATTTGCTTGTGCACATCCACTAACATTGGTATAAATCATCTCACATCACATGCTGTGTATGTGCATGTTTTTGAGAGCAGAAATGTGTGTGTTACCTCTGCCACCTCCAAATGTCTGATAAGTGTGTGACTGTGTGTTTGTGCCCCCATTTGTATTTGTGAGTCCTATGATGTCCTGCGCCTGCCGATGAGATAATCTGCCAGAGCATGGAGTGACAATTTGATCAATTGTCGGCTCACAGGGAGTCTCTGAGTTATAGTGCTGCCATCTCGCCTGGCCACCACCAGTAAAGAGCCGCCTCTCCGCAGAGATGAGCCGCCACATTGTTACAGACACAGCTGCAGACCACCCAGCAACACACACAAACACAAATCTGTACAGATACAAATGTCTCTCGGTTGATGGCGGTAAGTTGACAAAACATCCAATAAGGCCCCTGCCCCTTGTTTTCTGTCAGAATCTCTCATTTCACAGTGCTCTGGAAAAGTTTGCAATTTCCACCCACATTAGGCTTGCCTTTAACAAACAAACTGGATCAGCAGAGTATAACTTTCAATTATCGAGAGTGGTGAGTTTTTTCTATTGAAAAAAAGGTCTTGTTTATGTCCTTGATGTATTCTGTCCAAAGACTGAAAAAGATAAATTGGAAATATCTGGGTATTGTTGGAAAATTCTAAAAACATTGCCATAAGATAAGTTCAACCCAGTGGGTTAATAACTCTGTTTATAATTCCCCCTATTTTATTTTTATTTTATTGTGGCAGACTTTTCTTTAATTTTACAATTATACAATCATTTCCCCTCATAAAGATGACATTAACCCAAACATACTGCCTAATCTGTCCAGAGGCTGATCAATATTAACAACATTATCTATAGCTCTGATGAGAGTTCATTATATCCTCACTTTGTTGATAAGCGGATGTGGGTCATTATGTTCAATTAGCCCCACCTTTTTTGTGAGCTGTCACTGGATTTATGATGTCAATGCTGTGTGTCAACAACCCTCTACTGGTGTTGTTTAACAGAAATGCTATTTAAGTGCTGGCCAAATGTGTTGGATTGAGCCATATTAGATACAGTGATATGTGGCATCAGTGCAACAAATGTAGTTCAGTATAGTCAAGAAATAAAGAAGGTTCCCTTTTTTGCAGTTCTGCTCCTCAAAAACACCTTGTCTAAACACTCTAAACCAAAAGAGGCTTTTAGAATTCAGCATTTTCGAACACAGCGATTCTGCTTATTTTTGAAACGACACTGCTAATCCGATGAATAGCTAATATCCCTGCACTGCTTGCACAGCGAAACCTGTTTTCCAAATGCTCACAACTTATTTTCTCTGCTAAGAAATTGTACATAAAACAATTGACAGCACTGTGCACTTGGGCATATCTGTCTCAGTGCATTACCACACACAGATCAATAAGGATTCTATTCTCGGGCATTAGATCTTGAAACAGGGGGATAGCCTGCCTCTCTCACTCTTTCCAATCTATTCCCCCTCCTCTATCCTCTTTCTCAACCACCAGCATCTTCCTCTACTACCCTCTTCCCCTCCACCAGAAAATGCCAAAGGGACATTGTCATCCTCCCAGCTGGACAGTGGAAGCAGCAGCAGCGGCCAGCATCAAACACCGCACAGTTTTGGGGGATCACAGAAGTGATTGGCTTTATAGCTAGAGGGATCAGCCGTCCCCTCGGAGGATTCAGACATGTATGCACACATTCACTTCCATGCAGGCACACATCCACACACACACCTCCTGTTCCTGCTGTAATTCTCAGTCCTCTGCCACGCTGCCAGGCTGAGGCCCTTGATCTGCCACTTCCTGTAATCCTCCATGGGAGAGGGGTGCAGCCAAATGTCCTGGCAGGCCAGCCAGGCACTCAAACACACATACACACAAACACGCACGGACACTGATAGCCGCGAGTTGCCAAAATAATGACCTCCAGGACATAGATGTGTATCAGCGCAGGAGTCCAAGGATGTCTCTCACAAAACATGCAACCTGTTATACTAAAATACATCAGAAAAACCCACATGCAGCAGCATAGCAATGTAAGAAAAATGTGTTGTGAAATCTCAACTACGCCCCCTTCATCTACAGTATGCCATGCTGGTATCATCGTCATCAGATAAAGAGGCAGGGCTGACTAAACAGCAAACGAGAGGAAGGAAGAGAACAGAAGAATAGATGGATGACTCCCAATTCACCTTCATGTGACTCCGATAAGACTATCTGATCCACATCACTCAAACACAAGAGATTCATCTGTTTATTCAATTTCAAAGTGACCCTTTTCAGCCAGAAGGAACAATCTGACAAGATCATTTCAGCCAAACTCCGGATAGTGTTCTGATGTCCAAGCTAATTGGTCAGAGGCTTCTTCTACATCACAAGTAAAGCTTCCTTCTTATACAGAGTTTACCCAGGCTGGAGCTCAGAGGAGTAATGTACCAGCCAGCAAGACATACTGTAAGCCCTATTAAGCTTTTTCACCAATTCCTCTATCAGCCCTAAGATAATACTTCTACCAGAGGAGGGATTTCATCTCCAATCTTCTAATACATATGTACCACTAACAGAATGTGTTTATCCAAAGCAGAGTGGCAGCAAATCTTTAGGAACATCATCTCCACAAAGTGATCCATCGTTATCCCTTCAGTCTCCCTCACTCAGAAAACATACTAAAAGAGGTGCATGGACTGAACACTGGTGGCTCTGTGGACTCAATTCTCACTCTCCTCTACCTGTGAGTTTCTCTGTTTTTATCCTCACATCTCCAGTGCAGGTACTGAGTCACAGCAATAGCTGCCAGCAGGTGGGAACAAGGGACAGCCAGGTGGACAGCTCTTCATCACACCGTAATGAGCTGGCAAAGGCTGTCGGACAGGCATGAGAACACATGGAGGACCTGTAAAAGCAGCCTGACACATGCAAGCTTGCAGGCGCTCTCTGAAGCTATACGTCTCTCCGGGGTGCCTTTTCACCACAAGCTGTTGTCCCTGTTTGTGTAAATGTCCTCATATTGCAAGGAAGATGACGCAAACTACCTCAAGCCCTTGCTTCTTCAGATTAATTGCAGCACATACTTGACTATGTGTTTAAATGTGGATTACTCAAAGACATTTCTTCAGTAAAAGAAGCTAAAATATGGGATTCAAGGGATACTGATTCAAGCTACTACTTGGTGGTTTAAGCATTATCTTACCAAACCAATATACATCAGCATCTGACAGATCAAACATCAGTTCACTTACCGGCTGCCTTCCATGGATGCAGGGAACCAAACGGGACTGCCACAGGCCACCGTAGGTTATACCATTGACAATGATAAGTGAAAGGATACAATCTGAGAGCCCCACTCTGGGTGCCGATGGCCAGTATCTTCTGCACGGGGTCGAAAGCCATGGACGACGGCTGGTAGGGGAAGCCATGACGGACAGTCTGAGAGAAGTGCAAAAAGATGAAAAAAGAGAACGTGTTATCAATTTGCAATTCACAGTAGGGGTGTTGTTTTGTCAAAGGATATCACGCAAATGATTTTGGTAAACAAATGTCCCAGATGGATGTAATAAGTGCTATGAAGCAGAAATATAAAGCTTGAAATTGGAATGGGAAGGCATACAATTAAATAGGAACAAATGCTCTTTCTATGCACTGTTCCTCTGTTTTTCATGATAGCTGGTGTTTCGCTTCGCTATTTAGGATCCTTTTATAATCATGGGCCTATTTTGAGATTTCTTCTCTTCTATTTCACCCTTTTTATCTAGTTTTGCTTCTCTCACTGCCTCCCGGATGAAGTCGTGATGACACTGAAGTCTGGAAATAAAGACAGGAAACATGCCAATAAGGAGCGCTTGGTTTTGATATTTTGCAGGGCCTTTCATTGAAGTGAATCGTATCATACGGTGTTTCTGTTTTTTTGTCCACCTTGTATATGTTTGTGTGTGTGACTGAAGCTTTATGGCATCAGTCAGCTGGTGGTGGGCTGTTGGATTTGTTTGCTTAGCGGCAGAAGGCTAAAGGATGTTACATAAGAAGCACTCGTGCAGCAGAGACACCTGCCTACTCCGCAGAGAAACATTACAGAGGGTTTCTGTCCAGACAGACATCCAAGGTGCAGGAGGGATGATGGAGTGTTGTTTAAAAGAGACTTCCATCAGAAGCCAAGCTGTGGATCAGTGTCTATCAAACCTCCAATCTCTGAGCTAGTCTTTTCCAAACACAATATCCCCTAAACCCTAGGGTGTGTTGACTTGACTCTAGATTATGTGTCCTAGTTATTACTGTGGGCACTCTAATGTTATACTTTTCACAAATGTTGAGATGATTGCAGTTGTAAAAAGTTTAACCTCCCTTGACTGAGCTTATCTTGGTGTTTGGATGGTTGTGTCTTTAAAAAATACAAGGTCAAAGATCACATTATTCTTCCATGACGCTGAGTTCTGGATGTACACAAAGACTCTGCCATGTAAAATAGGATAAAGCCTATCAAGGCCAATGGACTATGGTAGTTTACAGAACAGGTGTTTTAAATGTCATCTCCCATAAGAAAAACAACAGCATAAGAAAGCCATTGAGACCTACAATTCCCTAATATAACAAAAAAACTATAAAAACGTATCCACACACAGGCCAGGTATGATTGTGCATGTGGGGAAAATCAATAACACATGGGGAAATATAGCATGTGTGTAAATGGTATTCTTCAAACACAGGCCCCCACTAACATCAGGCGCCATCAGTGCCCAATGGATCAATGAGCTGGGGGTATAGAAGTGAGTGTGTGTATGGGGGGGGGGGGGGGTGCATGGGAGAGAGGGGTGTGAGAGGAGAGAGGTGGGGGTAACTGCGAATAAAAGAAAACGAGGGGATGACACACAGTAACATGCATACACATTAACCAGAAAACCACCGTTTTGCTAATCCAAACCCAGCAGATTATGCAAGAGGGAATCAGTTTGGCCCAACCCCTCGATATGACAGTTCATGCCAAGCACACATACAGCACACGATGGTATTTTCACAGAATGATGGGCTGTATTTACATAATGAGAATATATACTTGAGAATCATCCGCGTGCATTACAGGACCACTATATGAATCCATTCAGGAACTTAGGTTTATTGTCCTATCGTCAGAGCGCATTCGCCATACAGTATGCGCATTGTTGGTACATTGCAGGCTACGTACCATGGCTTGGACAAGCACATAGCGATTGAATGATTCTATTTCTAAACGGGATTAATGCCAAAATGCTAGTTAACATGAAATCAGTAGATGCTCTTTGTAGTTTAGACTAAAGAGCAATAATCGAAGCTGATTGATTAATTAATTGTGTGGATCTCACTTGCACCTGCTGTATCCTATGATGGGATACGCGCAGCAGGCTACAAACTGAATATTATTTTTCTCAGAATATGCATGCCAAACGGGCTAACTGGTATGAAACCATCATTATAATAAAACCATCAGGCTCGCCCACCTTGCAGAGCTGGAAGTGGTCGGACTGGAGGGTCTCCTGGATCAGATGGTTCTCCTGTGGCCCCACTTGGACAGACGGGGTGGATGAGGAAACCTCTTTCAAGCCGTCCAGCACCTTCCTGATGTTGAACTTCTTCATTTTCAGACTGCAGCGCACAGAATTGAGATCACCCGCAAAAGATAAAGGGGATAGCCACTTTCGCTCTCTCTCTCTCTCTATCTCTCTCTCTCTCTCTCTCTCTCTCTCTCTCGCTCTCGCTCTCGCTCTCTCTCTATCTCTCTCTCGCACACACACTGGCTCGCTCGCTCTCTCTCTCTCTCTCTTCTGATTTCCTCTGTAAATCTCACATTTTAGTGCTCTTTTTTAACGCAGTCTCCATGCTGGAAGGCTTCGGCGCGCAGCGCACAGGTCGCTTCTTGACGTTCAAATTCGGCTGCTGGGATGTCGGTGCGTCGGTGTGATTTGCTCGCAGTCCGTGCTGTGCCCCACTGCGTCTCGGTGGCTCTTCTTCTCGGCTTCCCTCCCCTCCCCTCTCGGCTGTGTGCGCCGCTCAGCCAAGGCGGAAACGCAGCGCAGCGGTGGTGTTGGTGCTGCTGCTGCTGCTAACGCTCTTGCGCATGTCTGACAGAGCACAAGCTTCAACACAAATCCCGCCACCTTGCCAGCCCCCTCCCTCTTTCTCCTTCTCTCTCTCTCCTCCTTTCATCTGCGCCCAGCGATAACGCCCCCTCCCCTCTCTCTCGCACGCACACTATAGTAGGCTTTGCTCCACTGCACCTGGTGATGTTGGGATGCTGCGGCGCTGTGAGTGTCTGTGGAGACAGACGAGCAGACAGACGGGTACTCAGTCCCATTCTTTCCACACGGTCACCAGTCTGCCTCTGTTTATGTGTTTGAGTGGAATGTTCGACATATTAAAAGGCCATCACAAACCATAGTGAATAGAGGAAGTGGATAATAAAAGCTTTTTGTTCCATACTGGGCCTTTGGAGAAGCATGCATACATCTGCTGCATTTCCATGCACTATATTTGTCATAATGGGCTCAGAGAAAAAAATGTGATGAGATACAAAAAAAAGGGAAATATAAGCACCATGTTGTCCCTGAATTCATTTTACATTTGACTCGACTTTTACTTGTGTCAAAATCTGATGTAGGGTATAGCACTCTGAGCTGGTTTTATTGTTTAGGGACTTAAGCAGGAAACAGTGCATAAAACAAACCAACAGCTGAGCAAGCAATGCATCTATCAGTATCCATGGTGATGTCTGTTTCCTTCCATGAGGAGTCCCACAGCTTACCTGTTATTCATGCCTTCCTCTTAATATGGAGAAGAACCCTCTGCAGCTGCAACTGCAAGTGTGACTTCATGCGGGAGAAACACTTCAGTGAAGAGCTACTCAGGCAGGATGCATTTGGGAAAGGCCTCCCGTGTTTCCCCTGACAGGACCTGAACACATCACACATCCAAGGAAACGACAATAATCTTTTGCATCAAAACCCTGCCACCTAACAATGAGCTGTAGGCCTACTACATAACGGTCAAAACAGATGGTTCTGGTCAACAGTCACTGACTTGGTTTGTCCTTTTAACTGGCTGTAAGAGTGGGTACAGGAATATACATTTATACTGTAGGCTCCATATATGACGTGTTTTGCATTCGTCCATTTTAGATACGTCAAGTTAATTCTCTAAAACACTTGAATCAAAACAGAATAAAATAAGGAGTAATCTATCTTGCAGATGTGCTGAGTCATGTCTCTTCTCTAAAATCACTTTTATATTACTTGGCATTAAGTGGACATTTTGAAAAAATGGCATGGTGGTGCAGTTTTAGGGCACTGTTTTTTTGCAGCAATAAAGCCCTGGGTACAAATGCAAAACTGTTAGAAGTTTGTATGTTGCAGTCCTTAAGGACTGCAACATACAAACTTCTAACAGTTATAATTATATCTGTATTGATTGCTTCTGTGGGCTCCAGTATCCACCCACAATTCAAATGATATGCTAACTTGCTGACACTACTGCCATATGGTGTAGTTGGCAGTCGTCGTTGTCTGTCAAGCACTGGCACCTTGTCTAAGGTTCACATAGCCTCTTGCTGAGCTGAGCTCCAGACCACCGCAGTTTGGCAAAGTCTAGTGGGGTGGACGTCTGAGGATTAATAGCTTTATGTTTACAGTGTGTCAATAATGCATACACTCTCCTATCATTTCTGTACTTCCTGTCTTACTGCAGACCCTAACATTCATTGTTACCCTGCCAGCCACAGCACTGAACTCAGGTCATAAATTCACAGTAAAGCCCCCAAAGGGCAAAACAATCCCAAGTGAGCTTAAGTGAGTAGATTTCAGATCCTCAGGGCAGCGGTGTATGTTTGTAAGGTCACAGATGAAAGTACCAACCTTGACAAGCTCAGCTGAGGCCGCTCACGCTTGAGTGGCACTGACGTTGCCACCTGTTTGGGCTGTTTGCTAACATGCTCGTCTTCGACAGGTTTCTGCTGGCAGCAGGGGCAGGGGGTGCAGCGGCGGAAGTAATGGCTGTGTTAGCGCCCTTGCTAACAACACCTGATGCCAACCCCGTCCCAACCTGGGGAAAGTCCAAAAAAGGGCATTTCTATGTCCAACATGTAAGTGCAATTTGTAATAATCATTGGTGATTATTCGAGCTTGCTCATATGTGTTTCCACCTAAGCAGTCCTTTGTTGACACACAGCTGATGTTACTTGCATCAAGAAAATGAACATGCTATTGAATAAAAGGGCACAAAAAGAAATGAAGAGGACCAGGGAGCTGATTATTAATTCAGTAATCGTACCATGGATGCTTAAGAACAATTGTTGCAATTTTGATTTGCATAATGAACTGAAATTGACCATACGCACCCTTCAACCCCAACTGATATTGCCTGTTTCAGAATACATTACGCAGGCAAACAAAGAGGTTCTTATTAGTCAATCCTTGCATGTGTGTGAGTGAGTGATGTTGGAAGGGAGGGCTTTCGGCGACTCTGACATCAGTGATTTAATTTAGCACCATTGTGTTGTGGCCTAGCCATTCATCCTGCTGCATTGTGTGTATGTGTGTGTGTTGTATTCTGAGTCTGACTGCTGTGTTTGTGCTCTTTGATAAGGTTTTCCACTGAGGCTGCCCTGTTTTAGTGTTTTCTTTCTATTTTTGGTAAATAGCCAAATTGTAAAGAGAATATACGACAGAAAGGGGGTTGGTCTAGCAGAGGTGCAAATCTAATTAAAAGTCATGATGTGGTTATATGTGTTTCCTTGACCAATATTTGGTCTTACGGTATGATGATTTCAGAGGTCATTTTTTATTCTTGAAGCTTGAACATTTTAGCAACAGGAGTACAACAATGTAAACATATTATGATTAAAATGTCTATTACAGTAAGTTACTATCAAACAAACATCAGAGGAAAAAGAAGAGGGGTAATTTACACTAAAACACCATCACAAATGGCTGTATAGTGAGATACTGAAATGATCCGACACATTCAAAGAATAGTAAAAGACTAGGTTGTTTTTGTCCAAAATATGAACCGGCCTTGTGACCACGGTGTAAACCACATCAGGTCGTGCTTCCGGATGCTTTTTTATTACAAACGTCTTGCAAGTGAAACTATATTCTACAAAATTCAAAAACATTGTTCCTAACAACAACAACAACTGTAATTAGATCAATTACAACACTGTGCCCCTGCAGCCCATCTGTTTAGAGTAGGCGAGGTCCTGATAATTTATTCCGGTAAATTACTCTGACCTACTAATTGACCTGACCGAAGTTATTGAGTCTATGTAAGTTTACTGCTTGGCTCAGATCCACCAACGTCAGCAAGATCTCACCTCTATTAACTCCCCGAAAAGAACCAGGTTCAATTAACTGCTGTTTCAATTCAGACAACTCTCTTTAATCTGTTTAAGCGATCCCGAAGGATTTTGATATCAGTAAATGAGTTGTGTTCCTACCTAAGTGTGAGTGTGGCAGGGTGCAGTCTTACCTTTGAAGCAGGAGAGGAGAGCACAGGTGTCTTTTAAATTATCCCAGTCCAAAAGGTAGGATCAGTTTATTTGAAGAAAAATAGGTCCAAACTAATACAGGGTTTTTACCTTCTCTCTTTACAACATTATAATCATACTAAAAAAAAAATGATGCTGTGATTCAAATAGGAAACTTTAATTCACAGTCTTACATTTATTACCAAAATGTTCAACTTCAACTGCTCAATTCAGTTGTGACCTTTTAAAATCTCCCGATAGAATTTAGAGGCATTTCCTCATAAAAAGACCGGTGACAATAAAAATCTGAATTCAAACTTTCATTTTCACCCAATCAATTCACATCGATTTCATACCTTTTTTCCAACACAGACGGCGGGTACTAACATTCAAAAACACACACCTATCTCCCGCAGGTATTCGGAGGAAGATCCTCACGGTGGCGGTTACTAATCACAAACACACTCCTATCCGACACAGATGGCGGGTACTAACATCCACAAACACATACCTATCTCCCGCAGGTATTCGGAGGAAGATCCTCACGGTGGCGGTTACTAATACTCACAGACACATCTCCCATCAAATCATTCCACTCAGCATTCCAACCAATAAATTCACTCAGCATTCAAAGAAATTCACTCAGCATTCAAAGAAATTCACTCAGCATTCAAAGAAATCCACTCAGCATTTCAACCAACAAATTCAAGAGATATTTACCAAGTTTGAGAGAACTTTTACCGAGAGCTATTTACCCAGCTCTGAAGGACAGAGCCTACCGGGAGAGAGTATACCAGGGGAAACCCCCCCTCTCTCGCGCGCTCTCTTAAAAAACCAGTCTCTTTATGCTCAAAAAACCGGATCGAAACCCCAAAAAACACCTCCTCTATTCCCAACCAACATCTTCTATTGGCTATGGCCTAAGACACACCTTCCCATGTTTGTGTAAAAAAAGCTAAAACATGACTAGACATTTTCTATGGCTATGACATAACCACCTTTTTGAGGCCTCCATGTGTTTCTCCTTAAGTCAGGAGCCCCCCTCCCTGTGCACCCTTGTGAGAGGAGAGGGAAAAAACTGCCTACTCTCTTATCAGAGAGTAAGGCATAAATCATTTATAGGTCTTACACTCAACTTAACAAACCACTGGTGTTTTGTTTATGCTGCAAATATAGAAAAACCTAAAATACGAAGTATTTTCATTGTGGGTTATACAAGAATATAATTGATTATATTTGATTATAACTAACTTTTGTTTTAAGTATTCAACATACTATAAAGCTCTCAACACATCCATTAGCTGTGTTTTATTATTCAACACAAAAACCCTGGGAAATATGTACACTGAACCAATTGAGAAAGTCTATTAGCTGTCATGCATGTGAGCAGAGCACTAATCTGGTACTAATCCCAAATCAGAGGTGAGGGTTGATGCGCCAGCTACAACTAACTATGACAACTGACTATGACTGTATCAAGCAGCTGCTGCACCAGCATTATGCACACTGGCTTTGCTCAAATTAGTATTTATATATAAGCAATGGCAAAAGCCTGTTACAAGCAGTCAATCAGTTAAACCAAATACACTCTACATACACACTGAATTTATGTAAGGTAGAATGATATTTTATAATTTGACATCTTTGT